TTAGATATACTGTTCCCAGATCATGTATATATTAAAAAAACCTTTATAAAACTAGGATACTCATTTGGGGAACTAATGATTTGTTGGGTTTTCCCTAGTCCAAATAATTATGACGTCTGGCAAGGCTATTTTAATTTTTTTCTGGGACGCCTAAATAGCCTTGCAAGACGTCATAATTATTTGGACTATAGGTTTTCCCCACCATAGACATCGTCCTGTGGAAGAAACGAGTTTGGCGCATTAACAAAAAGATCATGTCCGTAGTGACAAGTTTATGTGTGTGCTTACCAATATTTGAATTTTATAAGCCTTCTTTTTGAATATTTTTTCATTTTTTGGTACAAAACTGACGTCGAGAGCTGTTGTTGTTGTGCTGTTTATTTTTTACAAAAGCGATCAAGTAATGCAGGGGAAGGAAACTTGCTTAAAAGACCAAAATGAGCCGCAACTAATAGGTACATAAATATTTTACTATGCAGTCAGTATCCCGATATGCATGTATATACTCTTAGACTCATTTCACAGAAAAATCGTACAAATGAAAATACTCGTTAGTCATGAACATTTTAGATCACTTAAAATATAGATTTTATAACTCAAATTACGAAAGATGCCAATTTGTCAAATGAGCCCCTGTAACCAGGTGCTGCATTTTCTAGCACGCGTCAAAAAACAGTTAAAAGTGCCGGGATCTGACAGAGCCTTCAAGAGCTATTTCTGTTACTGTGAGTTTATTATATATTTATCACAAAAAGCAAATGCTAATTTCTTTTCTTTTAATATGAAGCCTCCACCCATCCGCCAGCTTATCTGATTAATTTACGATCACTCTGAGTAAAGAAAGTAAGTCACAATTGCTTATATCAGGTATTTTAATTCTGGTTGATAGTTGTCTCATCACCAATCATACTATATCTCCTTATTTTTTTTTTACAATAAAGCTATATTTAGATGCGGTATAGTGATGAATGTGTTAACATGCAGCATGCTTGTAAATAATTGTTAAAATACAGCACAAAAGATGCATAATATATCAAACGCCATGTCAAAAACTTAAAAAAAAAAAAAAAAACCGACCAAATGACAAATAGTCTATACAAACAAACTATAGCATACCAAAATATATAATTTGTAAAGACTTGCATGCAACTAGGCCTATACAGTAGCTCTTATTCTTATAGATCTCATAACATTACGATTAAAAGTCAGATTATGTGTGTGCAAGTTCATTAGAAAATTCAACGAGACACGTCCTAATCAGGTAAAATCCAAAATAACAATTTACAAATTCAGATCTACTGCCTGTTGTATATTGCTAACATGATTGTATATTGCCAAACGAATAGATATGTTTGGTACGTGATAGCGGCTTCGAAGCGGAGACAAAAAGACCAAGATAAATGAAAGTGTAGAATTTTGTTGTTGAGAATTTTTTTTTAAAGAACTAGATTCATATCTCAGAATTTGAATATAGTATCTCGTTTTCTTTAGATAAATTGTTAGCTTTTACTGGCTATAATAATTACTCCCTTATAAGTATTCGCAAAACATGAAGTTAATGATCAATGAATATGAAAACACTTTATAAAGTATAAATATTGGTAAACGGACAGCAAGTCATAGGACTATTATAGTTCGAATAAATTAGTTTACAATAACTGTTGAAAGGTTATGAGAGAAAAATCTGGATGAATTTATTTTTATTAGAATGATTTATTTTACAGTAAAGGCTTCATATTTTTAATCAGTTATTTGTAAAAGAAAGGTGACATGTTTAACACCATGGAGCCAGTAAATTGACAAACTACCATGATGGATTTTTTTCTTTACAATCATTGATCGTTATTAATATTTAAGAATAACTTTTGTTTACAAATTCGTTTTCATAAATAATGGTTCAAGAAAAAAAAACTTTTTGAAAATTAGTCTGTTAGTTTCCAAAGAAAAAAAATATCTTAAAAACTGAACTGTGAGTTTTCAATCGTTACGTTTTGTTATGCTTTTTTAGTGTTAATCTCAGCAAAGACAAATTTGGTGATAAAAATCGATTTGTTGGTCTTTCGTAAAATTAAAAAAAAAAAACATACGTCATAATGTAATCTTATAAAAAAAAGGGGGGGGGGCGATGGAAGAAATTCAATATTGATCCTTCAAGGGACAAGTGAACGTGGGATATATTCATTCCCTACTGTAAAATATTGAGTTTTTGGTTGATTAATGTCGGGTGTGTCTTACGTACCGAATAATGTATGATAGGTACATGTAGGTCTTGTAATTGAGACCGCCCGTGATACGGTTGGAAAATTTCGACTGCCAACGAAAAAGGAGGGACAGAAAATTGGCCTAATACCAGGCTACTTACAGTCCACTCGAAGAGTTGTTGCAAGGATTCAACGTCCCCATTCGGACGTGGCTGAGCACAGCCCAATGGACGTTCCACTATCATTACTGCTAAGGATTTATTGCCGGTCAGAAGAAGACCTGTAACGACGCTATTTCTATAGTTACTCTAGTTCGCTAACGAATTCGCTTCTCGTTCCATTGAATATAAAGGAAAGAGTTATCTAATATATATATATATATATATTTTTTTTTCTTGAACTACTGTAAATAAAGTAGTTCATTTTTAAATGTATTCTATAAAGGTTAAGAAAACAATAAGTTTAAATGGCTGGTACATACATGGCTGCAGGGCTAATACCAAAAAGGTATATAAAAGCCAATTTCCCGTTTATTTTTTTCGTTGTTTGGTTCACATGTTCAAATTTAATAATTAATTGATATCCGAAATCCTTGTTAATATATTTACTTCGGTAGAAAAGAAAGTTAATCTTCTCATCTGGACTTTAATCTGCATATCTATTATCTATTTTGGGATTGAAAAAAATTATCTTTAAAAAAATGCGGTTTCGAGCCTATTTCTTCATTTTAATTTGGTTACACGTTCAGCAATAACTGATAAAAATATGATATATTACCAATGATAAGGTCATATATTTGAAGCTGTTCAAAATTTTGTACATTATAGGTACGTGTATCAGATCGGACTTTTTTTTTTTAATTGTTCTTTATAAATAATCTTACTATCTTACTATAAGTTATCTCAGGTCTAAACAAAATGTTACTATGAGTGTTCTAATGAGTTTTGTTTGATAATTTTGTGTTTAATTCAGTTAAAAGTTTGTTTTTTTTTACACGAGAAGGTCTGCTAAAAAGTTTATGATGATCTCTTTTTTTCCAGAATAACAAACGGATACTAGGTGGGCTTTCCTCTGTTCCGATGAAGGCAGTGCACGTCTTCCATTTAAAAGATTATATCGTAGTTTTGCAACAGACGGCGGCACATCGGGCATTGACTTACCATTTTATAATTTGTAACAATTATGATTAACCATATACTTATGATTGATAACAAAATCATTTTTTGTACTTCTTTATATAAGATGATCGAGATTTGAGAATGATATGAAAATAATAAAATATATATTACAAAAAAAAAGTTATCTCAGGTCTAGTTATCTAGTATGAAATATATCCACTGGAAAGAAGCCCTTTAAAACACAAATCCCCGTTTACTCATTGCGAAGTTTATTTGCTAGAGTTTTTTTTAATTTTCTTTTTTTAATGATTTTATAATTTTATCTTTTTTGTGAAAATTTTGAGTGGTTGAACATGAAATGGACACCGATGCTACAAAGAAAATTTGTTTAATGTCATCTGTTGCAATATATACTAAGTATTACACGTGGACAGGATGTTCCCCAGAAAATTAAGGTATTCAAAATAAGTTATACACACCCCAAGGGTACACGCCACTGTCATATGGAAAATTACTGGGTCACCAGTAAACTGGTAATCAGCCATGCAACTAATCAGTTGATTGACCATGCCACTACAATTTAAAAAGTTTGTCGTTAGATCAAAATGAAATATTTATTTTAATTTAAAATTGAAGAACTAAAAGGATTTATCATAATTATGAAGGGAAATAATTCAACAAAATCGGATTATTTCCCAAAAGATTAAATTTAAAAAAAAAAATTTCCGGGGAAAATAGAAAACTGTATATATAAAGGGTCCCATCAAGGATTTTATACATGTTATAGAAATCCTTGGTCTCATGAAATGGATCTCAAACAGACATGCATAATCAAAATTTATACATTTATTGATTCTATGCATGATTTCTTGAGAAATCAGGAGCGAAATATAACAAATATTTAGTTTTGATATTAAATTAAATTTACCTTTCCTCGCTATAATTCATTTGACATAACATTGAGGGATTTAAGGGTTTGTCCGTACAACGTGTTTGTCATTAGTATTTCACATGACTTATTGTTTTCGCGGTTCGCCTTGAAGCTCATTATTCAGACTGTTTCAGACAAGATGATGAAAATAACGTGCAAGGCACTTTTTTCGATCATCGTGAAGTGCACTCTCCCCCTCTTCAAGAATTGTATATTTATAAATCCTCGTCCTTTTTAAAATTACCACACTCTTTGTGATTACTGTTATGCTATTATGCTAACAGTAACCCGAGACTTGATTTACATGTAATTTATATCAGGGGCGATTCCAGCCAGAATAAAGGGGGTCCAAATATATGTCTCCATTAAATGCATTGATCGTTCACAAAAAGGGGAGTCAAAACCCCGGATCCCATCCCCCTTCGATCCGCCACTGATTGTGAATATAAATATAATTGTTACTTAAAAGTCATAGACCTGTACTAGCTCCGAGCACCTGTTTTGGGATATATACCACAGGCACTTGTTTCTATCCATGGGAAGCCCCACTATCAATGTATCGTAAATATACGTTGATAGTGGGGCTTCCCATGGATAGAAACAAGTGCCTGTGATATATACAGCTAATTAACCGTAAATAACTGCGAGATAATGAATAACAAGTTGATAATTGTCTATTCTCTGCTAATTAATGTACCTGCAATCAGAGACATATATACACATGTGTGTATATATATGTCTCTGCTGCAATTCACCCTGATTCATTTGTGAGACCACCGACACTAATAATATTACCTCAAAGTTAGAGGTTCTCCGTTACTGGGAACTTCATATCGGATCCGATCAATTTATTGGTTCCATTCCCCCTAGTAATAATGATCCATTTGCAGTGACGATGACAATCTAAAAGGTATACTCATTACTGTTGATTTTGCACGATAACGTACATGTTATGTCAACTCACTTCTCCTTCCTACGGCGTCAGAGAGAAAAAAAAGCCTTGCAATGCGTCATAATTATTTGGACTACTTCCATATGACTTTAAAACACATGCAGGCACTTGTTTCTATCCATGGGAAGCCCCACTATCAACGTATATTTACGTTGATAGTGGGGCTTCCCTTGATAGAAACAAGTGCTTGTGTGTGAACCATGTATTACTTCAAAATTTATCTATTTATATTTTTTATGCATAAAAAGTAAGTACAAAGAAGTAGGGGGATGAAATTATTTTATTTTAGTTAATCACTCATACTTCTTGTATGATGTCACCTTAGCTTAGCCTACAAATTACCAAAAAGAAACATATTTTTATTTCCTCTAGCTTATGTGTATGCCTTTTCATATACATGTAAAAATGTGTTACTGCCTATATTGACCTTAAATGTTATTCAGTCTTGCATGGCCTAATGGGACCTTGTTCTACTCATGTGGTATGCTATAAGCAGATAAGTCACTTTCTTTCCTTTTGAAATACAAATAATTTTTTAAATATACATGAAGAATTTTTATATAAGCTTCCTCCCCCATGAAACTAGGTAAACTGTCTTATAATTCCCTTATCTTAGTTCATGCCAAGTTTGATTAAAATTAGTATTTCTTACAGTAACTCTATTAGGTCTCTAGTGTGGATAGTGTATAACTTGCAAATTATTTTCATACTCCTTTCAAATTTATTGCTTTAAATATTACAGATGAAATTACATTGGAAAAAAATGTGGCAATTTTTTTTTAGGTTAAGGATGTTCGCTCCTCTTGATTTTGAATTTTTACCAGATATTCGGAATCCTCTGGTTTTATCCATGCAGTGCCATTAAAAAATTTTGGCCGCAAACCCCTACTTTTCTTTTCATTTTTTTATTACAGTTTAAAAAGCCATATTTGAAAATCTTATAAAATCCTTGTTATTTTTCCATAGCTTTTGAAAGAAAAAGGTGGCAGTGTTAAGTTTATGAAAAATCTAGAGAGAATCACTTCCCGCCAAATTTTTAATGGCTTATATCTTAAAAACAAGCACACGGACCCTTCATTTTTTCTGTTTTTTTAGTTCCTTTATTCATATACTTTCAATTTATAACAGTCTTTTAAAAAGCTAACTTTTTAGAACCTTTATATTTTAGAAAGTGGAAGACCTGGATGCTTCATACTTTGTATATATAGATGCCTCATGTTACGAAGTTTCCGTCAGTCACATGTCCAATGTCCTTGACCTCATTTTCATGGTTCGTTGACTACTTGAAAAAAAAGTTAAGATTTTTTGTAATGTTAAATTCTCTCTTATTATAAGTAATAGGATAACTATATTTGGTATGTGCGTACCTTGCAAGGTCCTCATGCCTGTCAGACAGTTTTCACTAGACCTCGACCTCATTTCATGGATCAGTGAACAAGGTTAAGTTTTGGTGGTCAAGGCCGTATCTCAGATACTATAAGCAATAGGTCTAGTATATTCGGTGTATGGAAGGACTGTAAGGTGTACATGTCCAACTGGCAGGTGTCATCTGACCTTGACCTCATTTTCATGGTTCAGTGGTTATAGTTAAGTTTTTGTGTTTTGGTCTATTTTTCTTATACTGTATGCAATAGGTCTACTATATTTGGTGTATGGAATGATTGTAAGGTGTACATGTCTAGCTGGCAGGTTTCATCTGACCTTGACCTCATTTTCATGGTTCAGTGGTCAAAGTTAAGTTTTTGAGTTTTGGTCTTTTTTTCTAATACTATATGCAATAAGTCAACTATATTTGGTGTATGGAAATATTTTATGATCTTTATGTCGGTCGCGCAGGTTTTATTTGACCTTGACCTCATTTTCACGGTTCATTGCTCAGTGTTAAGTTTTTGTGTTATGGTCTGTTTTTCTTAAACTATAAGCAATAGGTCAACTATATTTGTTGTATGGAAGAATTGTTAGCTGTACATGTCTGCCTGGCATGGTTCATCTGACCTTGACCTCATTTTCATGGTTCATTGGTCAATGTTTAGTTTTTTGGTTAATGTTAAGTTTATGTGACAGTTGTAATAAAGCTGCATATTTAAGACTATCAACATAATATCAATGATTAATAAAGAAGGCGAGACATTTCAGTGTGTGCACTCTTGTTGTAACTTCCAGACATAACTTGTGTGTTAGTGTATGGATCTCTCTGACATTGTACCACAAGGTTCCATATCACAAAGGGAATGCTGGGATTGATATTGGGGGTAATTGCCTCAAAATTTTAGGAATTAGGGGCTAAAAAAGGGGCAAAAAACAAGCATTTTTCTAGTTTCATGACAATAACTTGTGTGTAAGTGTATGGATCTTTCTGAAATTGTACTACAAGGTTCCATATCACAAAGGGAAAGCTTGAATTGAGTTTGGGGGTAATTGCCCCAAATGTTTAGGAATTTGGGGCCAAAAAGGGGCCAAAAAACAAGCAGTTTATTCTAGTTCCCAGACAATAACTTGTGTTCAAGTGTATGGATCTCTCTGAAATTGTACTGCAAGGTACCATACCACAAAGGGAAGGCTGGGATTGAGTTTGGGGGTGATGAATCTTAAGGGGGTTAAAACAATTGGGGGGGGGGATTTTTTTTCCTTTTTTTCCTTTTGTTCCTTTTGTTTTCTTTAAAATTTTCCATTTTAAGGTAGATAGGGTGTCTTCCTCCATCTTGGATTTTGAAATACCAGAAAACAATCGGTCTAGATCTTTAATAAAAGGTGCAAATTTTGAGAGCATTAGGTAATTCATGTGTAAGAAGTTTCATTTCAATATACAAAATGACATATTTTATCATATTTATGGTTGTATTTTACAAAAAAACAGAATACTGTTGTTTGATTCTATTTTTTCCAACTTTGCCACATAAGGGGAGGCAACTCAAATGTAAGGGCAGATAATTCAGATAAAGTTACTTTTACAATAGAATGTGTTAGGAATTTACCTATTTTATTATGTAGCAAGAAAACGGGTCCCGTGACCCCGTTTTTTCTTTTTCTTATCTGAAAGCATACTATTAAAGCTATCTTCTCATATTTTATCTCAAAATTCTATGGTGTAGTTTTCGTTTTATGGCAGAAAATTGGATTTTCCATGCATAATCCATACAAAATCTGTCAATTTTGCACAACCTGTAGCGTGAAAATAAGCCCCGTGACCCATTCTTTTTATTATTTTTTTTTAAAAGGATGATATAAACTACATTTTGGCAAATTATTAAAAAATTCTATGGATTATAATTTAGACACCCCATCTACCTTAAATCGGTTATTTCTGATTTATATATAAAAGCAAATAATAATGATATGGTTTGAATAGGTAAATTAGAAATTTTTAAGTTCTTAGACCACATTCATTTTGTGAGCCTCTTGTTTTAATTGCTTCTGTAAGTAATATATTAATTTGAAATTTTGACGACAGACACATACAGATTATACCGTTAACAATATTTCAGAGTTTAATGTTGTCAAGCACACAAATCATAGAAGAATAGTTAATCACGTCATTGTTGTCCATTGAAAAATTAGTATGAACACGATGAAAAAGTACGGGAATGTTTGTTTGTTAAACTATTGACCGTGGTTATGTCTTTGAAACAGTTGACTGGCAAATAGTCTGTGAAATGAAATAGCACAAATATTTCATTCCTTTTTTATATCATGGTATATAGAAAAACACATACTGATGTATAATAATAGAACTTTATAGTCATTAAATTATAGTTTTTACCTTTTTTAAGTTTAGGGCAAGAAATATAGAAAATAAAGAAAAATATAAACAATTACAACTGTACAGTAGAAATGATCGGCAAAACAAGATAAACAGAAGACAACAAGGCCTAAATGGTAAGACCACTTCTATATAATAAAAGTGATTGCCCTTGAATGATGACTATTATAAAAATAAGAAGATGTGGTATGGTAAATGAGTTATCTATCCACCAGAGTTCAATGAAGTGGATGCAATCAATTAAAGACCAATGACGGCTTCTGATAATGAGAAAACCCATACCTTATAAGTCAGCCAATAAAGACCCCAACATGAAAAGATTTAAACAATCCAAATTAGTTCAACGCCAATAACAATTAATAAAAAAAACATGTCTGTGAGCACTCCACCTAACCATAATCTAGGACAGTGGTTCAAATAGCACAACATATGAGCAAACTGTAAAAACTGTTGCAAGTGGCTCAACTCATTATCACTGCAAGGCACTAAAACGACTGATATTAAGTCGTGGACACAAAGCACTGAAATAATAGAACTCATAATCATGATTAGTAAGAATTTCAAATTTAAGTTTCTCAAAATGTTTATATTAAACATGATAAAATAAGCTTATTTCATATTGCTGTTTATTTCTCAATTTATATTTTGTGTATTTATAGGTGAGACTTCTTGGTTTTCATGATCATCAACAGGTCAATACAGAAGAGGAAACTTAAGGTTAATACTTTTCTACATTGTGTGCTAATTGGATTAATGTGAAATGAAATGTGTGCTTACCTGGAAAAAGAAAATAGGAAATATCTACAAAATGGCTGTAAACAAAATGGAGTACAATCATAGATGCACAAGAACACAATTGTGTAATTGCAACAACCTACATATTCACTGAAGGATTATGGAGAAATGTAGAAAAAATAGTATTTTGTTGTCGAAATAACACCTGCTTTATCCATTCATGTACATAGCTCTGTCATATCAAATATACAGAGGCAGATGTTTGAAGAACAAATTTCAAAAATGTATTCTCTACCAATTGAAGGAAGATGTCTGGTGGAAGGAATTATTTATGCACTGAACTGTTATGTAGGGGATTGAATAATTGTACGCAGCAGCTTAAACAGAAGAAAAGTTAAATTAACATGAAAAGTGGTTATTTTATTTAAAATCTGCAAAAATGAGCACAATATTAATAACATCACAAATAGTATGATATTCATAGCGTTTTGCTTATTATTGTATTGTCTCAAACAGCTAACCTATTGTTTTTGTATGTCATGTTACTCATCAGTGAACATTTTATTAAAGTTTTAATTATCTTTTGTATCAATTATTCAGTCTCAGGAAAAATTATATTCATAATGTTTTTACTGTTATGAAATTTTCATAGAGGAAAATTTTAACAACAGAAATTTCCATAGAGGAAATTTGGAGAACAATGTTTTCCTTAGAGGAAATTTTTGGTCTTGAATTTTCCCTCAAGGAAAAGTATTTGTCAAAAATTTCCTCACAGGAAATTGCTGTTGACAAAATTTCCTCACAGGAAAAAGTATTTCCTCAAAGGAAAATTTGAAGCCGCAAATGTCCTCACAGGAAAAAGTATTTCCTCAGAGGAAAATTTGAAACCTCAAATTTCCTCAGAGGAAATAGAATTTCCTCAAAGGAAAATTTGAAGCCGCAAATTTCCTTACAGGAAATAGAATTTCCTCAAAGGAAATATTAATGCAGCAAATTCCCTAAGGGAAATCTTTTTCCCTTGAGGAAAATACAATTTCCCTTGAGGAAAAATCTTTTTCCTTTAGGGAAATTTGATTTCCCTTGAGGAAAACTACTTTTCCTCTGAGGAAATTGTTGAAAAAAGGGGCATAACTTTTTCAACAGTGGTGCTAGAGCCAAAAATTTTAAGGACAAATATCAGGGAACCAATACCAACCAAGTTATCAACTTCATTTTGACTTAACTCCAAAAATTAAGGTGACAACTTTTGCACTCAGCGGAAGTGCAAACTTGTCCCGGAGACTGTTCATACTCGACCTAGTCTGAACCATACTCGACCTAGTCTGAACCATACTCGACCAAGTCTTAACCAACCTAGACCTATTTTTTGTATCTATCTATTGTATTTCATCAATTTAGGAGCTGTTTTTAACAACAACTATTTCCCCTGGCTAGAAATTTGAACAACAATTTGAAATTAAAAATGTATTCAATATAGCATTGAAACCAAAATTTCACAATAAACATAATATAACTTCATCACCATATTCATCAACACTTATATACATACATATATTTCACCTTTAAAATAAAAATAAAACAAGCTGATCAAATAATCTCAAAACTGAATTGTGACTTATATTTTCAATGTTATTCAAATTTTTTTGAATGTTTCAGATATATTTTATGGTTACTGGACAATTTTCACCATTAACTTAAGCCTCGTATATAATGGTGTCAGTTGAGTTTAGTTAATAATGCAGTGAACATTTTTTTTATTAAAATATATATAAAATAGCATATAAAGCAACTTAATAAATTTAAAATATGACACCTTTGTTTTGTTAAACCAAGAATTTAATATAATCCTGATAATAGAACTTCCATAGTAATCCTGTGATAAACTTTTAAAAAAGGAAATGTGTTCCAAAGTTACAGTAAAAATTTATTTCAATTACATTTAAATAATTTTTGTCAAAATTAAAGACATGGCATACAAGAAGCACTTTAATAAGGTTTAATTACCTCAGTACATGTGTGTTTTACAGGTAAAAAGAAAGCCCTATTTTTCTTAAACTCGTGTATTACTTATCTAATGAATTCAAAAGGCCTTGCGATTTAAGTTTCACAAGATGTTGCAATTTTGAATGAATGTTATTTAGAATTTAATACTCTCTGACCAGGTGTGATTTTTTTCATGAGTTTGCCCCAAGCAGGAGGTATTACTTTATACTTCACCACTAATCAGAAGAACAATTTTATTAATTTCTTTAATTTTTATCCCTTTTTGATATATTGTATATAATATATCCCAAATTATAATAAAAGATATATTTCTAAAATAAGGTTAAACAATTTCAGTGATTTTGTTGGCTGTTGTTACCTCATTAAAAAGATAATTATATAACTATTGTACATTTTTTGTATGTAACCATGAAACCTATATATGTAGTTTTTATCTAGAAAAAAAACACATGCAAAACAAGAAGCACCTTAATAAGGTTTAATTACCCTCAGTATATGTGTGATTTTTAGGTAAAAGAAAATCTTTTTTTAACAAAACTCTAAAACTTTAAAAATTTAATATAATTAAATTATTATATAAGATAATTTGATTTAACTATCTCTATTCGATAAATCTGAGAATCATGTAAGAATGTAAAAATCTGTTTTTATAATATATCTGTATTTTATTGTGGCTGTTGTCATGTCAGTTAAAAAGAAATTTATTTTAACAGTTAAAATTTAGAAAAAGTAGAGGTTATTTGGTCAAATATGGTTCAGACTGGTCGAGTATTGTTCAGACCTTTGGTCGAGTATGGTTTAGACTGAAAAAAATAGGTCGAGTACAGGTCGAGAATGAGTTAAGATTGTTTCAGACTGGTCGAGTAATAGTTCAGACTATTTTCAATGGCAAAGATAAGGGTAAAGTACAAATCAGTACAGTCGAGTATGGTTAAGACTAGGGTCGAGTAAAGTCGAGTAAATTTCAGACCAATTCAGACTGGTCGAGTAAAAATCAGTACAGTCGAGTACAGACATAGGCCATTTCAGACTTTTACTGGTTTGTAGTGGTACTTATATATATATGAAATGAAGTGGATGAACGCAGTTATATATATATACCGGTATATATAAACAAGTCTAAATTGAGAACAACGTTCAAACCTATGATTGCGTTGGATAAAAACCGCAATTTTTATACGTGTGCATGCAAAACAAATTTCTTGGTAGAGGGGTCTAAATACAGCACAAAAAAGTGAAAACGTTTATTTTAACAAAACGCATTTGACTAACAGGTCGAACAAAAAATGTTCATAAATCCTGCTGACTGCCATTGGCGATTGCCAAATAAACGGATCACCGATGTAATAAATGGATCTTAATTATTAATTTAATACTAAACAGAAAACAATAAACTTGTGGAAAAGATGATATACCGCAAACAAAAGGTGCAAAGGTTTTTGTACACCATATTCGAATTTCGACAATTAATGTCTCTTCAGTGATGTTAGGAATCGAAACGGTATTTGGAAAGCCATACAATTTACCTCAATTAAGAATAGACTCTTGAATTTTGAGGAGTCAAAATAGGATGAACGGATCATATAAACCCGAAGGCAGATATAATACAAGCCGAAACGAAAAAATATAAACAAGTCTAAATTGAAAACAACGTTCAAACCTATGATTGCGTTGGATAAAAACCGCAATTTTTATACGTGTGCATGCAAAACAAATTTCTTGTTAGAGGGGTCTAAATACAGCACAAACAACATTTTCCAAAAGACCAAAAAAGTTAAAAAGTATATTTTAACAGAACGCATTTGACTAACAGGTCGAACAACAAATGTTCTTAAATCCTGCTGACTGCCATTGGCGATTGCCAAATAAACGGATCACCGATGTAATAAATGGATCTTAATTATAAATTTAATACTAAACAGAAAACAATAAACTTGTGGAAAAGATGATATACTGCAAACAAAAGGTGCAAAGGTTTTTGTACACCATATCCGGATTTCGACAATCAATGTCTCTTCAGTGGTGTTAAGAATCGAAACGGTATTTGGAAAGCCATACAATTTACCTCAATTTAGGAAAGACTCTTGAATTTTGAGGAGTCAAAATAGGATGAACGGATCATATAAACCCGAAGGCAAATATAATACAAGCCCGAACGAAAAAATATAAACAAGTCTAAATTGAAAACAACGTTCAAACCTATGATTGCGTTGGATAAAAACCGCAATTTTTATACGTGTGCATGCAAAACAAATTTCTTGTTAGAGGGGTCTACATACAGCACAAACAACATTTTCCAAAAGACCAAAAAAAGTGAAAAAGTATATTTTAACAAAACGCATTTGACTAACAGGTCGAACAACAAATGTTCTTAAATCCTGCTGACTGCCATTGGCGATTGCCAAATAAACGGATCACCTATGTAATAAATGGATCTTAATTATAAATTTAATACAAAACAGAAAACAATAAACTTGTGGAAAAGATGATATACCGCAAACAAAAGGTGCAAAGGTTTTTGTACACCATATCCGGATTTCGACAATTAATGTCTCTTCAGTGATGTTAGGAATCGAAACGGTATTTGGAAAGCCATACAATTTACCTCAATTTAGGATAGACTCTTGAATTTTAAAGAGTCGAAATAGGATGAACGGATCATATCAACCCGAAGGCAAATATAATACAAGCCCGAACGAAAAAATAAAGTCTAAATTGAAAACAATGTTCAAACCTATGATTTCGTTGGATAAAAACCGCAATTTTTATACGTGTGCATGCAAAACAAATTTCTTGTTAGAGGGGTCTAAATACAGCACAAACAACATTTTCCAAAAGACCAAAAAAAGTGAAAAAGTATATTTTAACAAAACGCATTTGACTAACAGGTCGAACAACAAATGTTCTTAAATCCTGCTGACTGCCATTGGTGATTGCCAAATAAACGGATCACCGATGTAATAAATGGATCTTAATTATAATAAATTTAATACTAAACAGAAAACAATAAACTTGTGGAAAAGATGATATACCGCAAACAAAAGGTGCAAAGGTTTTTGTACACCATATCCGGATTTCGACAATTAATGTCTCTTCAGTGATGTTAGGAATCGAAACGGTATTTGGAAAGCCATACAATTTACCTCAATTTAGGAAAGACTCTTGAATTTTGAGGAGTCAAAATAGAATGAACGGATCATATAAACCCGAAGGAAAATATAATACAAGCCCAAACGATAATATAAACAAGTCTAAATTGAAAGCAACGTTCAAACCTATGATTGCGTTGGATAAAAACCACAATTTTTATACGTGTGGATGTAAAACAAATTTCTTGGTAGAGGGGTCTAAATACAGCACAAACAACATTTTCCAAAAGACCGAAAAGTGAAAAGTATATTTTAACAAAATGCATTTAACTAACAGGTCGAACAACTGATGTCCTAAAACCCTGCTGACTGCCATTGGCGATTGCCAAATAAATTGATCACCAGATGTAACATGGATCTTAATTATTCAAACAGAAAACAATAAACTTGTGGAAAAGATGGTATATCGCAAACATAAGGTGCAAAAA